CGCACACACACACACACACACACACACACACACACACACACACACAGTCCGTGGCAGCTGCCTAGGCGTTATGTCATTGGTGCCTCTATTGTAAGCATGGCGTTTAGGTTTTCACTTCTTTTTCTAAAACTATCTGAAATTACAGAGACACACAAAATAGCCTACCTCTCAGTTACAGGAGTAAAAAAAATATATAATCCACCTCTGATGCACTATTTTGCAATTTCTCCTTTTGCGCATTTGTCTGTGAGTGACTGTGATTCTAGTTGTTATAGGTGTTTTAATTATTATTCTTGAACTGATTTGATATAATTTTAAGGCGCTCCAAATTTATTATAGCTTCTCTCCTAGACTGAGATAACTGTTCAACTATATACCTTCATTTATAGGCCTTTATAATCTATGGTTTCTGATTTTATCATCGATGATTTTGGAGTTTGAGTACTTTAGCCTTAAATTGTGACATCACTTCCGTTCACTCAGCGCTGATTTCTAACGTACACAGATGTGATGATGTAGCGGGCCGCTGTCAGAGTAACTCATCCATGTGATTGGAGATCTATGAAATCTGTCCGGACTAATGGGCACGAGCGAAACGCGGAAGCGGGCAGAGAGTAAAGAGGTTCGGACACCTTGGTGTTTAGCACACGTTATCACGGCTAAACATTCCGTTCACCTGCGTTTCTCCGCGTGAGGCGAGTTTCGTATAGTTTGTTTAAACCCTGTGACGCGACCGCATGGTTTGTACGGCACCAAAGACCGTGTTCCTTTAAAATGGCAACAAAAAGCAGAGTTTTGCTGCGGACGGTTCTGCTCGGGCTCAGAGCTCACAGTGTTTGGTACCATCAGACCTCAGGTGAAAGAGGCCTCCCGTGGAAAACTCAGCTGAGACACGTGAGCTGCACACACCGGCAGCACACACCTGCTTCTGCCTCCACAGGTACTTTTTAACAACTAATACAAGGGTTATAACCGTGTCATCCTGTGGAGAAGTAACGACTGCAGCTGAGTTCATGCACATGATGAAGTCTCGAACAGGTCTTTAATTGCTATAATTAGTTTTAGTTAGACATGTGTGGTTTCTACAGAAACATCTGAATCTTGGCTAGAAGCTGGTGAAAACAATTTCCATGAACATCCAAGACAGTGTTATTTTTAATATTGTTTTAATATCACTTTTATTACATTGGGTTCTAGATGTTGTATTTATAATTAAATGCAGCAAAATAAACTAATTCAAAGGTAACAGATCTCAATCCTTGATTTATTTACATAATGACTTTAATTGATGGCTGTTGTTCTGCAGTAACTGTGGCACTCGGAGTGATTTAGTTGACTAGCCCTGGCATCTTATATACTCTGGATGTACTGTTTACAATAAACACTGTGTATGTGGTGCCTCCATATAAACTTACATTTTATATATCTTGTTCTGTACAATAAGGGGACAACATGTGATTTGTTCCTGTTCTGTTTTKGTACCAGGACCCAGCAGTTTGTCATTCAGGAGCCACACCTGTGGGGAGCTGAGACCACATCATGTTGGAGAGAAGGTCACACTGTGTGGTTGGGTTCAGTACCTCAGGTCTGATGAACTAAGTTTGATTTATGGATTTAAAGTTGATTTGTGTATAACTCAGTCTCAGACTTTAAGATGCTTGGGTTATGTGTTTTATGAGTTTGTATCTGGTCTTGGTGTTTCCTTGAACAGAACCAGTATTTTGTTTATAATATTAAGCATTTTGACTTCTGTGAAGTCTCACGTGAAGTAATTATTTGGTTTCTGTTTCTAACAGACAAGACCTTTTTGTCATCCTGCGAGATTTCAGTGGTTTGGTACAAGTTTTAATTCCCCAAGAAGAAGTAAGAAAAAATAACCGCCAGTTATTCCCACCAATAAAATGAAATAATATAAATAAAAAAATATATACTGATGAAAATAATGAAGATAGTGTTTTTCTGATTTTAGTCTGCGAGCAGCTTGAAGGCGGTGCTGTCTGATCTGACAGTCGAGTCGGTCGTGAAGGTTACGGGAACAGTCAGAAAACGACCAGCAGGGCAGGAGAACAAGGTTTGTGTTTATGAGCAGATGGCTGTGACGTGAATTGTCCTAAAGGGAGTTTGGTAGATTCAGCAACATATTTATRTCTTTCTGGATATTACCACTTTGTCAGACACATCCTAAAACTTTTAAMTGGGCCACAAAGAAACTCCTCAGATCTCAGGGAAGTGCTCCGTCCTCTCGTCCTGCCACCAGGGGATGCTGACTGGAGACGTGGAGGTTCTGGCCGAGAACGTGGACGTTTTCAACGTGTGCCGAAAGCTGCCTTTTGAGACGAAAGAGTTTGTCAAAGTAAGTGTTTCGTTTCGCGCAGGTTTCTACCACTGAGTGTGTTTGATTTGCGATTGATGAAGTCGTGTTTCTCTTGGACTGAACAGAAGTCCGAGTCTCTGCGGATGCAGTACCGTTACCTGGACCTGAGGTCCTCACGGATGCAGAAGAACCTCAGAATGAGGTCTGAGCTGGTGATGAAGATGAGAGAATATCTCTGTAATGTGCATGGTACGAGTGTCAATTTACTTTTGCCTTATTCTTGTTTATTTTTTTCAATGAAATCCAGTCCAGTCTTTTATTTTTTTCTAAAACCTGTCCTGATTTTCTTGTTATTTTTGTCTGGTGTGCAGGATTTGTGGATGTAGAAACTCCTACTCTGTTCAAAAGAACACCAGGGGTAAGAGTCAACACAGAGGAAAATTTACTTCCCTTAAAGGCTATAAGATTATTTCCTTAACATAGAAGTAATTAGATCATTTTTGGCTGTTTTGTAAGATCAGCTGACACATCTACAAATTCAAACTTGAGCTAATCAACGTGATTTTTTCATGCTGTTCACTTCTGTGTGTTTCAGGGGGCCAAAGAGTTTGTGGTTCCCTCCAGAGAGGCGGGCCTGTTTTACTCTCTGCCTCAGAGTCCACAGCAGTTTAAGCAGCTCCTGATGGTGGCTGGTATAGACCGGTGAGTGTTCAGGGTCAGATTTATAAAAGATTGCGTAGAAACCATACTAAAAGTGAACATACGGCCAAAAGGCAGAAATGGCATACGCCAAAAAAAAAAAAAAATCAGATTTATAAAACCGTGCATACGCATTTT